GAACTTATTGCAAATTAGCATATGCGAATTATACACTAGAAACTCTCCAGGTTCGACTCAAGTTCTATTGGCAGATCTTTTTTCACAGCAACGTTTTTGTTTTTGTAGTGATGGATTTTTTGTCCACAACAACTACATTGCTTCCAATGCATACACTTGTTTTAGTGCTGCTTTAGGAAGACGGGTTAATGGCTCTGAACGTAGAGACGGCAACTTCTAGTTGGCTGCACACAGAGGTCCGCGGTTCAAATCCCACAGCCAGGCTCGGCTGAATTTTTGAGTTTTGCCTTATTAAGGCGAAGATCATATGTTTTATGATTTAAGTGTTTGTTTTCTCTTTCGAGACGAGCTTAATGATCTGAAATTTGCAGTGAAAAGGAAAGCCAGATAGACACTATCACACACTCACCACTATGCGACGCGTTTCGCCGTTGGTTAAGCGGCTCATCAGGCATATTTGATGTGGATGATGGCTTACAAGGGCCGTTCTCTGGAAAGTAGTATATATTTCGAACTTATTGCAAATTAGCATATGCGAATTATACACTAGAAACTCTCCAGGTTCGACTCAAGTTCTATTGGCAGATCTTTTTTCACAGCAACGTTTTTGTTTTTGTAGTGATGGATTTTTTGTCCACAACAACTACATTGCTTCCAATGCATACACTTGTTTTAGTGCTGCTTTAGGAAGACGGGTTAATGGCTCTGAACGTAGAGACGGCAACTTCTAGTTGGCTGCACACAGAGGTCCGCGGTTCAAATCCCACAGCCAGGCTCGGCTGAATTTTTGAGTTTTGCCTTATTAAGGCGAAGATCATATGTTTTATGATTTAAGTGTTTGTTTTCTCTTTCGAGACGAGCTTAATGATCTGAAATTTGCAGTGAAAAGGAAAGCCAGATAGACACTATCACACACTCACCACTATGCGACGCGTTTCGCCGTTGGTTAAGCGGCTCATCAGGCATATTTGATGTGGATGATGGCTTACAAGGGCCGTTCTCTGGAAAGTAGTATATATTTCGAACTTATTGCAAATTAGCATATGCGAATTATACACTAGAAACTCTCCAGGTTCGACTCAAGTTCTATTGGCAGATCTTTTTTCACAGCAACGTTTTTGTTTTTGTAGTGATGGATTTTTTGTCCACAACAACTACATTGCTTCCAATGCATACACTTGTTTTAGTGCTGCTTTAGGAAGACGGGTTAATGGCTCTGAACGTAGAGACGGCAACTTCTAGTTGGCTGCACACAGAGGTCCGCGGTTCAAATCCCACAGCCAGGCTCGGCTGAATTTTTGAGTTTTGCCTTATTAAGGCGAAGATCATATGTTTTATGATTTAAGTGTTTGTTTTCTCTTTCGAGACGAGCTTAATGATCTGAAATTTGCAGTGAAAAGGAAAGCCAGATAGACACTATCACACACTCACCACTATGCGACGCGTTTCGCCGTTGGTTAAGCGGCTCATCAGGCATATTTGATGTGGATGATGGCTTACAAGGGCCGTTCTCTGGAAAGTAGTATATATTTCGAACTTATTGCAAATTAGCATATGCGAATTATACACTAGAAACTCTCCAGGTTCGACTCAAGTTCTATTGGCAGATCTTTTTTCACAGCAACGTTTTTGTTTTTGTAGTGATGGATTTTTTGTCCACAACAACTACATTGCTTCCAATGCATACACTTGTTTTAGTGCTGCTTTAGGAAGACGGGTTAATGGCTCTGAACGTAGAGACGGCAACTTCTAGTTGGCTGCACACAGAGGTCCGCGGTTCAAATCCCACAGCCAGGCTCGGCTGAATTTTTGAGTTTTGCCTTATTAAGGCGAAGATCATATGTTTTATGATTTAAGTGTTTGTTTTCTCTTTCGAGACGAGCTTAATGATCTGAAATTTGCAGTGAAAAGGAAAGCCAGATAGACACTATCACACACTCACCACTATGCGACGCGTTTCGCCGTTGGTTAAGCGGCTCATCAGGCATATTTGATGTGGATGATGGCTTACAAGGGCCGTTCTCTGGAAAGTAGTATATATTTCGAACTTATTGCAAATTAGCATATGCGAATTATACACTAGAAACTCTCCAGGTTCGACTCAAGTTCTATTGGCAGATCTTTTTTCACAGCAACGTTTTTGTTTTTGTAGTGATGGATTTTTTGTCCACAACAACTACATTGCTTCCAATGCATACACTTGTTTTAGTGCTGCTTTAGGAAGACGGGTTAATGGCTCTGAACGTAGAGACGGCAACTTCTAGTTGGCTGCACACAGAGGTCCGCGGTTCAAATCCCACAGCCAGGCTCGGCTGAATTTTTGAGTTTTGCCTTATTAAGGCGAAGATCATATGTTTTATGATTTAAGTGTTTGTTTTCTCTTTCCTTGTAAGCCATCATCCACATCAAATATGCCTGATGAGCCGCTTAACCAACGGCGAAACGCGTCGCATAGTGGTGAGTGTGTGATAGTGTCTATCTGGCTTTCCTTTTCACTGCAAATTTCAGATCATTAAGCTCGTCTCGAAAGAGAAAACAAACACTTAAATCATAAAACATATGATCTTCGCCTTAATAAGGCAAAACTCAAAAATTCAGCCGAGCCTGGCTGTGGGATTTGAACCGCGGACCTCTGTGTGCAGCCAACTAGAAGTTGCCGTCTCTACGTTCAGAGCCATTAACCCGTCTTCCTAAAGCAGCACTAAAACAAGTGTATGCATTGGAAGCAATGTAGTTGTTGTGGACAAAAAATCCATCACTACAAAAACAAAAACGTTGCTGTGAAAAAAGATCTGCCAATAGAACTTGAGTCGAACCTGGAGAGTTTCTAGTGTATAATTCGCATATGCTAATTTGCAATAAGTTCGAAATATATACTACTTTCCAGAGAACGGCCCTTGTAAGCCATCATCCACATCAAATATGCCTGATGAGCCGCTTAACCAACGGCGAAACGCGTCGCATAGTGGTGAGTGTGTGATAGTGTCTATCTGGCTTTCCTTTTCACTGCAAATTTCAGATCATTAAGCTCGTCTCGAAAGAGAAAACAAACACTTAAATCATAAAACATATGATCTTCGCCTTAATAAGGCAAAACTCAAAAATTCAGCCGAGCCTGGCTGTGGGATTTGAACCGCGGACCTCTGTGTGCAGCCAACTAGAAGTTGCCGTCTCTACGTTCAGAGCCATTAACCCGTCTTCCTAAAGCAGCACTAAAACAAGTGTATGCATTGGAAGCAATGTAGTTGTTGTGGACAAAAAATCCATCACTACAAAAACAAAAACGTTGCTGTGAAAAAAGATCTGCCAATAGAACTTGAGTCGAACCTGGAGAGTTTCTAGTGTATAATTCGCATATGCTAATTTGCAATAAGTTCGAAATATATACTACTTTCCAGAGAACGGCCCTTGTAAGCCATCATCCACATCAAATATGCCTGATGAGCCGCTTAACCAACGGCGAAACGCGTCGCATAGTGGTGAGTGTGTGATAGTGTCTATCTGGCTTTCCTTTTCACTGCAAATTTCAGATCATTAAGCTCGTCTCGAAAGAGAAAACAAACACTTAAATGTAATTTCGTTTGAATGTACATACGCCATTCAACATTGTAGTTTTCATTCATAATTTTCAGTCTTCCCAAAAATTTTTAAAATTTCATTAAAGTTTTTTAGTTTTAATTTTTAAATGTCATAATTTATTTTTTCGATAAATGCTCTCATTTTTTAGGGATGGGACATACATTTTCGTTGTTCTGAGAGTGATTTGATTTGAACTATGTACAAATATGAGTGTTCGCTCAGGAAATTTTGTGTGAAGAATTGAGTAGTTTTTTCACAGTTAAGGGTCAAACAACGAATAGAGAGCGAATCAAGTGCAGTGGAAACGCCACATAAATCAGCATGTTGACTATGCAAAACATGATGAGAGCCACCTGGATAAAAATACAAAACCAACTTTTCGGTCTATGTCTTCATTTGTCTATGCCATGACACAATTACAGAAGGTAAAACAAAGCTAACTCCTGAATACAATTTTTTTCTTTTGGTTCATTCATGTTTTGATATCTCTTAATATTTCAAAAGCTTTCAATTCAAATAATTTTGCCCCCATGGTTACCAACTTAAGACACAGCTTTAATTTTTCATTGACTGCATGAGCTCAAACCTTAGGGGAAGGACTCAGTTCTGTCAATAACATTAAATCTAATCTGCTTTCCCTTTACAGTGGTGTACCGCAAGGTTCCGACTTAGTTCTGCTGTCATTTATTCTTTATGTAAATGATTTATGTGCTTGCATTGACTTGAAATTTTGTACAACATTTCAGTGTGCTGATGATCTATTTTTATTATTTACTAGCCGAGGAGATCATTTATCTTTATTAGAAAAAACTATCAGCACGTAGCTCCATCAAATTTCGAATTGGGCATCAGGAAATTATCTAACAGTTAACTCATCAAAGTCTAAAGCTCTGTTGTTTGGCATGTCCAGAAAAGCAGAATCTGTTTAATTTTTTTTGGGAAATAATATTATTGGCTTTGTCGAACGCCACAAAGTTCTTGGTGTTACTCCTAGTAGTGAACTGTCGTTTAATAGCCATATTGACATTTTATCCGGAAAAAATTTGGTTTTTATTAAGAAGAATATACGCATCAAATTTGTATATGCATTCATGTTAACAATTAGGTAGCTCACGCCTTAACATGTAAATGCAGTTGTACCCTTTGCCTATAAGATTCCTCGAAGAAGTCATATTTCTTATTATGTTAAGTATTTTCTTAACATTTTCATCTCTTATCGAATCCTGGTAGGATTTTATAAAGTAGTTAAAGGTGGTTAGCCTGTATCTTTAACTGGAATTTTTTCCTTTTTACATTCGACCTGAAAACTTCAGTTGATTATACCTAGGATATCTAGGAGTATTTATATATTTATTTATAGTTCGGGCTGCACGCGTTTAGAATGTGCTGCCGCATGAACTATTTATTATTTTTAACGAGATTTTGACTAAAATACTTCCTTTAAGCCATCTACATTTATTTTTACTACAACAACATTAATTGAAAGTTGAAAAATGTTACTTTTACAAGTGAAAAATGTGGCAAAAATCATCAAAATAGAATGTGGCGGGTGGTACCGTTTTATGGGGGCTATTCCAAAACGTGGACCGATATATCTCATTTTCAGTTGCAACCATTCTAGATACAATACAAATTGTTGTGCTAAATTTTAAAGCTCTTCGTCAAATAATGTGGGCTATATCGTGATTTCAATAGGCAGACAGACGGACATCGTTAAATCTGCTTAGAATTTTATGCTAATTTTGAATGTATATACTTTATGGAGTCTACGAATATTGAGGTGAAGTTTATAAAAATATAAATAAAAGAGGTGTGGAGTAAGTTAGATTCGAAAATCAATATTTTAGACTTTCGGCTCGTACAGGTGAAGATTGGATTAAAGGCTGGGCCGACTACAAATTCAAATTGCGAAAAGAGAGGAGAAGGTATAGGCGTTTTAAGATCTGGAGAGACTTGAGTCAAAACATTTTAGAAAGCATTCTTACGAACCCTGAAGTAAGTAATATAAAATTGATAGCTCTAATGTTTAAAAATGTTTGTAATTCCAGAGCACCCTGCTTTTACATCTATTAAAAATGTGGTAGTCGAAAGTTTTATATAAATCTAAAATTTGATGACGATACAGAATTTGGCGATACAGATAACAATTGCAACATCACTCATTGTTAACTGTAATGGTAGCTCCGAGCCGGAGGTGCGATGCAGCACTCTTTCTTTCCCCCTATCGCAAAAATTTATGATTAAAGTGGCCGACACACCTCATAAGGTCACTGAACGTGATAGCGGTCATGCCTCTGTTGGGTGTCATTGCGGGTATTTTACCGGCAGGTATATAGAGAGCGACTTCCCCTCTGATGAATCCTTTCTACTACCCGGGCATATGAAGGGTTAGGTCGTTCCCTGAAGCGAAGTTTCGTGAACTTTCTGAATTCTGTCCAGTGGGCATTCCTATGATTAAGGAAAATAAAGGCAATTGTGGGAAGATGGTTTGAACCAAGAGAAATTGCAAATCAAGACATTTATTACAATAGGCGACACTACGGCTAAGTCTGGCAAACTGAGGCATCCGTGTCTAGTGTGCAGAATGTGGAGTAATCAATGTGCTCTGACAACGTTGATCTCCTTTGGTCGTTCCCTAGGACGTAATGCTACAGCTCATAGTAGACATTAAAAAGTCAATAGTACCAGGGGTTATAATTTTCTAAAAGAAAGCAATCGAAGCGTTTTATATTTATAAACTGTCGGAATATACATATTGGATACCTCTACCTGAAGTATTTCACACTTAATTACTACTATACAGAATTGTATAACAGCAACCCCCAATCCCCGACATCCACTTCAGGTGCGATTTCACGTTCTAACAATAATAACGTTGTAGGCTGTTATTTTAATTATAATAATTTTAATTTCAGGTGCAATTGATTTGCAAAGATGGACAATCCGGAATTAGAACAGCAACATCTGGAGTAAGATAGATAAATTTTTAGGCAGAATATCCCTATATGTCTTATAAATTAGAGAAAAAGAGTCTGATAATCATTAAATTTTATCCTATCGACATTTATTACCTGTTGACAATGGAAATATTTCAAAGGTTAATTTAAAATTAGAGTATATTTTAAATTCGTTTGTAAAATAAATTATGTATTTGTTAAGTAATTCATGTTTAACATTAAATATTATCATTAAGGCTTATCAATGCATAAAAAGTAACATTCTAAGGAAAACATAAATTATAAAACACATTTCATATAATTAAGTTATTATAATCTGGAATAGAAATTTGACTTTATAAGGTGTTCGTAAATGGGAATTTGTAATGATAGGTGGTATTCAGATTCATACAAAGATATCTCATTTAATTTTTTGGTAGCAGATAATGTATCAATCGAAGATGTTTGACAGTTTCGATACTTCTTGACAACAGCGATAAGATCTCGTTTAGATACAGTTCTGTGTAACGCTAGACGTATGGCTGATTCGTCAACTTTCATATTTGCGATTAAACCATGCAAACGAACACGAAGCGTGCGCTGCGGCCAACTTAATACTTCCGGAGGACACTCGCGAATGTATTTGGTAGGAAGGGTTTCACTATTTAGATAGTCAACATATAAGACGTCGACAGTTTTGGATATTTTGTTGTTACTGCGAATAACGGCTCTATACCACTTTTTGTCTTTTGAATAACATGCCAGACATGGCGTGGATCGCTTGAAGCTCGTGAGTGGTCTAGCTGTTTTGGCTGCTTTACCAATAGCAATCTGCATATTAATATCTTGTTTCTTGTAATCAGTTGTAATGGGAATTATGTGAAGTACAGTAGGTGATATTATCTTTATAACTCGACATTTGAACTGTTGCTGTGCACCTGGAAAGTGGGGTGTCTTGAATACATCAATTCCACTGAAGTGGGTAAAAATTGTCGAAGTCTCGTCCGGATAAAAATGTTCATATTCCGATTCTATGTCCTGCAAAAAAAGAAATCGCTACTTATTTTAAGACAATCCAATTAGGTCCATGACTTGTATATACCTCCTCTTCTTGGAATGAGATTCGATGCTCCAATTGTTGGCATATGTCATATTCCTCGTTTCTCTTTGTATCATCTGTTGCGGAATGCCAATAATTCATGGCAAAATTGTGGCTCATTTCAACAACATCTTCATCGTCGTCATCGGCAATGCTAAATGATACCATTTTATGATCATTCCCGCTGACATTGCTTAAATCATCTACGTCAAGTAATAATCCTCCGTTCATCATTTGTGTATAATCACTGTGATCGAACATGCGCTTCTTCGTTGGAGGGATTGCAAAACTGTTCTTGTGTTCATTTCCGGTTTGAGTAATTTTCGAAAGGAGATTGTCATGGCGTTTGTCTAGATGCTCGATTACATTGCTAATGTTATCCTCTTTGTATTGCGGCAATACCATCCAATTGCTAGCTTCATTTTCTATACAGAATTCGTTTTCATTCAAATTATTTGCGTCGAAATCCTGAAGAAGTAAAATACCAAAAGTTAAAAATATATACTTAAAAGAAATATAGTCATAAAGCACTAGCTGACCCGGTCCGTGTTGCCGGCTGTGCTTTAAGTCTTTAATGCATATTTTATAACCATAATAAATAACAGATCTGACTTATGTAAGTGGCACAATTTTTATTATAAGTAATGACTCCATAGTAATTTCTAAAAATAAATAAAAATAATGGGAAAAATTATAATAGATGTTCAACTACCGTCGGTTCTAGATATTTTGAATAGTCTGATCTTATTTTTCAGCTATAGGCTTTAATTTGAGTGTTAAAAACCTATATGTTATAAAACATTTTTAATAGATCCATATAAAAACTCAGCTAAATTTTTGGTATTTCATTCCATTCAAATGAGTTGTAATTTGGAATGCGTGGTATTAAGTTTTGTCCAACTTTTAATTGAGGGCAGAAAGTCAACAGAATACACAATTTTCTTTTCTAACCACACATTGGTTGGCGTACACTAATGTGTGGACCATACTTAAATAAATGTCTACGTGGACAATTATCTATAAGTTGGTTCTCTACCCCAGAATATCTTAAATACTATTATTTAGTAAACCAATTGATGAATGTGGTCAAGACTGAGATGGGCCCTACTTCGAAAATTGAAAATTTTATGCGAATAGGTTTTCTACCCCCCTTAGAAAGAAAAATGCCAAATAAGGGCCAAAAAAAGAATAAAGTGACCAAGACCCCCAAAATAGCTTAAACCATATGATGGTTATATTACCAACATTTACCGAAATTAGTATTAAAAATATGCTTAAAACGCAAAATATATTTGAAATCGGATTGTACCCTCATCCGGGGGTTATGACCCATATCATGACTGTAAGAGCGATTTAAGGTATCTTAAAAGTTTTGGAAGAAATCCATTTCATACTAAATGTCCAATTGCACAAAAGCAAATTGAAAAAAACAAAAAATCTTCAACTTGTTCGCTGATTTTTTACAGCAAATGTATAAAGGTCCTTACGAATATACAATTATTTTGAAATTCGATCCTATTATCATTTTTTTTCCCGATTTCAGAATGTTTGCGATGAGATAGCCTTTTTTCGTGATTATTTAGCTTTTTAGATTTTAAAAAAGTAATTTAAATATTCTTTTTTGTGTTCATAGATTATTATCTTTTATAAAATCTATAAATAACAGTTTTGTCGCTTTATTCTCCCCAAAAAGACTACAAATCAAATTAGAATTAAAAAAAACACTACAAATATACATTCGAACATAGTAAATCAAAATGAAAAAAAAAAAAAATCATGCAATATAAAACATTACAATTGACCTTTTCAAAAGTCAAAATGAAAAAAATTCATGTTTCACATTTTCCACGATTTTTTGTATTTTTTCTTTTTCTGCCAAGAGACAATTCCGAATTTGTTTGGATCGCTAAAATCAGATAAGCGGTTCTTTAGTTATAAGCGTAGTAACTAACACAACTTTCTTTTGGACGCATAGATATATTTAGGCCAAAAAGTAGGCGTGGTTAGTTCATCAGCCGTCAAATAAATTGGATGGGATGGCAGGGTTGGATGGGAAGTCAACAGTATCTCGTGTAATAATTTTCAAACCGATATCTTCATTATTTTGGCAAATATAAGGATTTTAGATAAATCGAAATAGCGGGCGTAAAAGTAGGCGCGGTCAATATTTTTTTCTTTAGAAACCTATCTCGGGGTATGACGAACGTTTGTACAAGAAGTTATGCAAATCGGTCCAGCCGTTCTCAACTGATTCCATTACCAACGAAAAACAATTGATATTTATATATATAAATAGAAAATAAATAGAACATATAGATTAGAGTTTTGGGGTTTCATACAATTCAGATTTTAAAGAACGGCTTGTATGCTAGATATTTACATATCGTTACTTTTACATTGAAAGCCTCTTAAATTCTTTTTTTTTGTCTTTCTTATTGTCATTTTCCATATATTGATAACCAGTCCTATAATAGAACCATTGTAAACAACTGAATTAATCCCATCTAAAATTAAAATTAATTGCCAATATAAAGGTAGTGTATTGTTACGTTAAAAATTGCGAAAATTTATCCATGAAAAAAGTGCTTAGTAGAAGATGTATTTTTTGGAAATATCTTCAGAAGGAGATTGTACCGAAAAAACGTTAATTGCTTACCTATTTCGAAGAGAAAAATTTTCAATTTTTTCCAATTACAAAAGTTTTGACATTCAGTTTTTTTGTTTTGAAATTTTATTAGGAAACTACTTACAAAACTTTTCAGATTTATAGCTATTATAAAAATTCTTGTGTACGCCGTATATTTTATATATGTATTTTCAAACACACATTGCATATGAAACAATAAAGTTGAACATTTTCAACTTTGACATGGCGTCTTATGTTTGTTTGAGGTGTTCATACTTGAAAATAGAAATATAATATTGAATGAAATATTGTAAATAGTTTATTTTTTGCCAAAGCAAATAAATATTTTTCAAAGGGGTTTGAAATTTGGTTGATTTTACAGTTACAGTCAATGCTTGTCTGGGTAGCACGGCCGGCCGTTTAAAATGATTGATTATGGTGAGAAATAGGGTATTTTTGTATATAACGTAACCATGTTAGTAAGCCCCAACTTTTGTACGCTGCTTCGAATTTTAGATAGACTTGTTACAATGACAACTATGCAACATTTGTGCAAATTGTTAATGGTAACTGATAACACAATATTAGGCATGTATGTATGTTCCAAGTCAACCAAATTTCGGATGTACGGCACGTCTGCTTAAAGTCTGATGTTTTATAGGGCCTTGCTTCGGAAGACAGACCGACGGACGGTTCAGAAATCGTTTCGAGATAATTCTAATCTCTCTTCCAAATTTCCTGTGAATATTCTTGCAAGTTCGGACCAGATCATTTTGAAAGTCGGCTAAAAAGTCTTATCAAATCACATAGCCAGAAAACGTAAAATGGTAGTTTTCTCTATTTTATAAGAACTCAATATAGCCAACAAGTTGTTTTTCGTTTTTTTTTTTTCAATTTGATTACTAATTACCCCTCTAAATGCTCAAAATCATAGAATAAAATATAATGCACTTACCTCATAATCGGTACTGTTGGAATTTGAAAAGGGGTTCCGACGATTTCTCCTCGGCTCATTCGTATATTCGACGTTATTGAACGAAGACAAACCTGGCATCAGAGTTTCTGCCGCTGCCCAACCTTTTTCTATGAAGGTGGCGGCAACATCAACGGTGCCTAATCGCATATTACACTTCTTGATGGGCATTGTCAGTTCTGTGGGTGACAGGCGCACCGAAACAAACTTTCCGACAATGTAAAGATGCATTTGATCCAGAACATCGACTGAGAATTCACCACTTTCGTTGTTGGGTTGGATTCCAATAAGTTGGTATCTGCTTGCAAGCGATGGCATGTTTGGAAATGGAGCGTATGGCCGAATGTCTTTTGGGACCACATTTTCCACATCTCCATAGTCGACGAATCGGACTTCGATTTCTTCTTTGTCATTTGACTTTTCTTTTTTTACATATGCTCTGTAAATTTTGGAGTCCAAGTGATATTTTGCAATGCATGGTTGGCCTGCGGTGTAGACATAATCCGCGGAAGGCTCCTCAACATTGGCGAACAATTTGGACATTATATTGCTCATTTTGGTCAAGAATTCTTTATCATCGGCTTCATGTAGAAATATAATGCCATCATAGTCTACATATGTTGGATAACCGGCAAACAAGGTCTTATTAAGATCTTTGGACTTTGTCCACGCAACCGATGCCCTGTCCATTCCTGTAGATAGCTGAGCATCGACATTGTTAAGATAAACATCAAAAGGGTGGCCATCAGAAATATTTGTATCGTCTATAATGTCATCCATAGCATCAGGGTTATTTGCGTGAGCGTGTTCATTGAATAAAGTGCCGCGACAGTGTTCCCTGCGATCAATAGCTGTCAATAAAAATATAAGTTTTGTTCAGTACAAATAATATCAACATATGGAGCAAACGATTACGAATAATTAATACGTTTGTCAGCGTGCATACGTATTTTGTTAGAATCACATCGAAATATCAGTGAATTTGTCTATTTTCCCGAAATTCAAGAGGTTAGCTATAATTTCTGAATGTCTAAAATTGTTAAAGATAATACCCTTCATGATTTATTTTTTTGTTGTAAGGATTCCAAATCTTGGTGGAACTTGACTTTTAGCAAGAATGATTAATACCCTTCATGATTTATTTTTATTGTTGTAAGGCTTCCAAATCATGGCTTTTAACATGAATGATTTTTCAAAGTTACAAGAATTTTTTTTCGTAAATATTCTATTGAAGATTAATTTCTCCTGATTTAGCTTCCAGTGACTTTTACTTGTTTCCAAATAAAAAAATGCCTTGCTGGCAAGCTTTTTACCTCAAATGAAGTTTCAGGAAATTATATTGAAAAATAAAAATATTTTTGAAAAATTAACTATTCTCTTTCATTGATAGACTACGAAGTTTCCGAACCGCCCCTGTTCGTTCAAAAACAGCAATCCCATTTGGCCAAAAGACGTAAAAGCCTACTGTAATTTTCATACAAAACAAAATACGCAACCCACATTATTTGAAAGTTAAGTGACAGTAGTCCAGTCAAAGTAGGCATTTGAAAGAGCAAAAACTCCCAAAAAGCTGATATTTGATATGGAGCTAGAGCTTATCATTAAAAAATGATAAAACTGCCTATAAATCCTATGCGTGCAAAAATTTTTGCAATTGTAACTTGCGTATGTATAAAAATCGGATTACTTTGTATAATTTTCTGATATCCAGTTCCGGAAAATAGAAAAAGTTTCATGTGATCTTAATGAGGAGTTCGACTAAAAAAGTTTAATGAAAAGGAAATCGAAAGAGGAACCCGACTCTTGAAACCGAAATCAATACAATATTGAATTGTTATGTGGGAAACCAGGTTAAAAAAAAACCGCCAAATGCTTTATTTCAAAGGTGACTGGGAAATATGTGCATATTATGTATGGTGTGGCGAAATGTTACCCCCCCCCTTTTTTCATGGCTATTTTGACTGGACTATAGTAGCGATCAATCAATCATTGGTATTGATATAAGTATTAGATTTAATTTGGTTAACATGCCCTAATTTGGCTATTTTCTAAAGCTTTACAAACAGTGATTAAAAATGAATCCTAGATATCTAAATTAACCTCCAAGGAAAAAAAGATCAAATCAAAATGAAACGTGTGTATGGAAAACAATACGATAAACGGACAAGTCCAAAATCAAACAGAATTGAATATATAAGATGTTTGAAGTATCGGCTAATACAGTTAAAATGTAAATAATTAGAGTTGTTATAATGGACAGTTCACCTAATTGTGGTCTATAGATATATTACAGTTAAACCTGGGAACTGTACCCAACACCTTCAGATTGCTCGTTTAAAGTTCGCTTAATCGGATAGACCAACAACTCCGGCGTAAACTGGTTAAATGTCCTTTTATTTTAACGGATATTTTAAAAACATTGTAAAACGTTATAATATTGTATAGTAGACTGAATGAGGTTATGTATGGAACAAAATTCGTGCAGATGACCGCTGTAGCTTAGCTGGCACACTTGCGATCTTTCAATGAAATTTTTAGTTTGCATAAATTTTGTGGTATTTGATTAATGTAGAGTTCAATTTCCTCTTTCAAGACTTGCGTCGTCGTCGTCGTTTTCGCATAAACAATCGACTCCAAAAAATCGAAAGGTTTAAATCCAAGCGGCCAATCTTCAAAACACAAAATAACACGACCGGGAAATGACTGATGTAGCACTTGAATTGTTCCTCTCGCTATATGACATGCTGCGCCGTTTTGTTGAAACCACATGGCCTCCTCATTCATTTATTCAATTCTAGACAAGAAAAAAATGGTTATAATTTCACGATACCGAACACCATTGACTGTTTGAGCTTGACCTGCCTTATTTTGTTTAAAAAAGGTTTTTTTTCGATTTTTCCAGCCCACACCACACAGTGACATGTTCAAGATGCGTTTTTTTCTCGAGTATTTTCCTCACCCCAAATACAATATTCTACTTATTGATAAAGCAATCGGGATAGAAATGGGCCTCGTCACTGAAGATGATTTTATCAGCAAAATCAGCAATAGGTGTGTCTGGTTACCCTAAAGTTTGTAACAATTGTTACAAATTGTTACTGGAAGTCGTCTGTTAACCCAAAAGTTCTGCAAAAGAGAGCGGTTGGAGAGAGAAATTTTGACAGTTCTTTCAGTGAGAGTTTGCAAATTCTTGCTGGAAAAATTTCTTCTTGCAATCTCTTGCAACTCTTCTTCTTCTCATTCATCGACATTCAATCAGATGTTTTCTATTGTTTATTTATTTATGTTTGTGCTTTCAATTTGAATTTTTTTTTTTTGGAATTAGCAAGACTAATAGTTTTTGGGGAACAACTTTACAAAATGTGAAAAACGTAAATGTTAATATGCAATAAGAAAATAAACGACTATTTCCAACATTTTTATTTAAAAAACTTGTAAAATTAGTATTGCTTCCTTTGTTTTAATTCTGCTTATGGGGGACAAATTGGTTTGTTTTGACAAATCAGCTGATTAGTTGCATGCTTCTGCAGGAATACCGTCTGTTTACTTTTCGCATTTTCCTTGTAAAAGAGAATAAAACTTCCTTACTCTCTCAGAAAGAAGTTACTGGACAATTCCTGCTGGAAAAGTAACCAGACATACCTAATTTCAGGTTGTGTTGTATATGTAAACTGGATATTGACACCACTTTTATTTTATCTGCCAGAAGGTAACCCTATTTTCGCTAACATTCTCAATTCCGTATTCTTTAGTTATTAGTTCATAGTTTACTCTTGTAAATTGTTCATCACAATCTTTCTTAATGAAATAAACTGAATTAAATTAAAACTCCAGACTCACAATACAATATTGAGTATACAATATTGGTGTCAGAAGTGGACAGACGGAGGCTGTTAAAACATCGCGGCCCCAGTTTGTGACGTCAGAAGACATAAATACAACAAGACCGCCACGGTTGCAATAAGCGAATACAAAAGCACAGATGGCTCAACGGTTAAAGACTATTTTGACAGATTCGATTGGGCGTTGAAATTGAGAGGAGGATTATCAAGAGGATTATCATAATTATGCGCGCGTACATATGGGTGCTGAGCTAAATACGGCTCTCAAAATTCTAATTAGTCCTAAGAAGCCAGAAGAAATGAAATATGAAGAAATTAAAACTACATTGATAAATCATTTCGACGGAAGGAGAAATATTTATGCGGAAAGTTTCAGATTTCGACAGATACGACAAGATGTAGGGGAATCGATGGCAAATTTTTCACTGCGCTTGAAGCAAGCTGCGGCTTTGTGTGACTTTGGGGCATTCCTGGATAGGATGCTGATTGAGTAGATGATATTTGGAGTGGAATCCCGCAATATTTGTGACGAGATTATTACAAAGAAACTTAAAAGTTTTGCGGAGGCATATGAGTGTGCCATGCAAATTGGGTTTTATACCTATCAAGACAAAAAATGGTGTGAAGCAGAAGTCGAATAAAACTACAGAGGTGAGATGTTATGGTTGCGGTGGTCGACACGTACGGAAGGATTGTAAATTCAAGAACACAAAGTGGTTTTCATGCGGCAAGGTAGGCCACATAAATAAAGTGTGCAAGTCAAATACAAAGCAGATAGAGGAGTCGTTGTTGTCAGATGAGGGTGAGGAGCCACATACTGAGGCGAATTGCAACAGTCAGAACAAAAGGGCCATTCGATCGGAAAATGGTCACAATGAAGATAGACCGCCAGAAAGTAGATATGGAACTGGATACGGGTGCTCCTTGCAGTATTATAAGCTTGGAGAATTAAAAGAACATAAAGCAGTCACCAGTGTTAAAGAAAGCGGACCGGCGATTTTCAAGTTATACGGGGCACAAGATTACGTGCATAGGACGTACCGTGGTGAATGTGTCTTTGGGCAGAACCAGTCGTAGGCTGAACTTATACGTTGTTGATGCCGATTTGACACATTATGTGGCGGTGAGTGGATCGCACATTATGTTCGAGAAATAAATTTTGCCGAATTGTTCCAAGACCCAATAGAACGCATCAACGGGGAAGGAGTTGCCAGCAGCGGCAGGAGAGAAGATAGCATCTATAGCAGTAAAAAAAACCCATACTGTCTGAACATCAACGGCAACAGCTGCTATTAGCCAAACATAAAGATATATTCAGTGATGTAGCGGGTAAGTTCAAAGGTCCTTGTATTTAAGTGCAATTAAAGCAAGATGCTACGCCAAAATTTGCAGGACCCCAAAAAATCCCATTCGCATTACAGGATGCGTATGCCAAAGAAATGGATGCTAAGATTGCGGCGGGATTTTACGAAAGAGTAGAGTATTCAGAATGGGCATCTACTACACATGTAGTGACGAAGAAGAATGGAGGCATACGTATTACGGGAAACTACAAACCAACCGTAAATCCACTAATTGTAATAGAAGAACGCCCAATTCCGAAAGCGGAGGATATTTTCAACAGGATGAAGGGCTCAACGGTGTTTGCCCATTTGGATATTACTGAAGCGTATTCACACTTGGTCCTTGACGAGGAATTTGCCCATGTCGTGACGCTGAATGCTCCAACACATGGACTGATACGTCCAACTCGAGCAGTTTATGGAGCCGCTAACATTCCGGCCATTTGGCAAAGAACGATGGAAATGGCTATACATCACATTCCTAATATTCTTATTTTTTCGACGATATTCTGATGTTTGCAACAGATGTTGATGATCTGTTGAAAGTTCTTGAGACTGCATTATGCAAGTTAAAGGAATTAGGATTTAAGTTTAAAAAAAGAAGTGCGTATTTGTGACGTCAACGATTGAATTTCTAGGTCACAAAATAGACGCAAATCCAACAAACACATTGAAGCGATTATGCATGCGACAAAACCAAGAACGTTGGAGGAGTTACAATTATTTTTGGGAAAGGCGTCATATTATTCGAACCTCATACCTAACCTGTCTACACTTGAGGGGTCACTTCGGGACGTTTTGAAAAAAGTAACGTCTATTGGAATAATAATACAGATGCGGCATACACCAAAATTAAGCAATATCTCCGCAAGTGCTGATCCCGTATGATCCAGCATTGCATATTCTACTTGCAACGGACGCCAATAAAACGGGACTGGGAGCTGTTCTGTCGCATCGTCTTTCTGATGGACAGGAACGTCCAATTGCTTATGCGAGCCGCACCATGAACGCGACGGAGCAACGATATTCACAAATCGATAACGAGGCGCTGGCCACAGTGTGGGCCGTCCAAAAGTTTTCCAAGTACCTGTATGCCCGTCATTTGACTCTGATTACTGACCACAAACCGCTGGTACAAATCCTACATCCGAGTAAGACGCTGCCTGTTTTATGCATATCCCGTATGACAAACTACGCCGATTTCCTTTCTAATTTCGATTTTGAAGTGGTCCACAAAACCTCGAAAGAAAACAGTAATGCGCATGTTTTGTCTTAAGTAACTCCAGCCAACAGAGTGATCAAACTCAGTTTTGATTAGGCCATATGTAATGACCTTGATGAATTCGACAGTTTCGTGATTCGCCAAATTAATCAATTACCGGTAACTGCTGAACGAATTTCGCTGGAAACGAGAAAGGATCCACATCTTGGTAAGATTACAAAGATATTGGAAAGTGGACAGTGTTTGTCAAAAGCTGGTTACAAATCACCTGAAATGAACTACAAAGTGTCGCCAGGGTGTTTAATGTTTGAACACCGAATTGTGATCCCTCATAGATTTCGGGGCGATTTAACGAAAGATTTGCATGGCGCCCATCTAGGGATGGTTAAGATGAAAGGAATATCCCGGTCCTTGGTTTACTGGCTGGGCATTGACAAAGACATTGAGAGCACTGCGAGGTAATGCGAGAAATGTGCAAAGTATGCAAATGCCCTGAAGAAGTGCACAGATCATCATTGGGAGTACCCCAAGGCTCCGTGGGAACGAGTGCACATAGATTATGTGGGTTCCTTTGAGGGAATGATGTTACTCATCATTCTCTAAATGGTTGGAGGTAAAGGTTACCAAGTCAATAACAGCAGCTGCGACGATTACATTGCTGGATGAAGTGTTTGCTACATACGCAGGACCATTAATAGTAGTTTCCGATAATGGAACGAATTTTTCTTCGGCTGAATTCAAGAATTTTATACAAAGAATTGGCGTTAAGTACCACAAATTTACTGCCCCCAACCACCCAGCAACTAACGGCCAAGCAGAGAGAAGTGTCCAAACGGTGAAGAATGCATTAAAGGCTATGTGTACAACGAAAATGACATTAAAGGAAAATCTAAACGAATTCCTGAGACAGTACAGGAATAAACCTCATTCGACAACGGGTCAGTCCCCAGCACAGTTGTTCCTAGGACAACAGTTACGCACACGTTTAGATCTAGTGCGTCCACAAGAAACTAGTAGTAAAGTAACAGTCAATCAGTTCATGAAGAGCAGCTGTAAACACAGGGAATTGGATCAAAGATCAAAACGTGTACTTTCTGTCCGGAAATCCACGCATTAGCAAATGGGTTAAAGGCAAATTGACCAAGCCTTTGGGAGATGTCCACTATCAAATTCTGTTCCAGGAGAAGTATTATAGAAGACATATTGGTCAACTTCGTGGTACAGATCAAAATGATACTGACACATGCAGTCGTCGCACACCAGTCAACAGTAAGGAAAACTCTATGAATCATCCGAATAGCTACAGAGCTGGTTCGAGCATCGTCACCGACGAACAACAAGAATCGGTAATCGAACAAGACGAAGAGGACGTGGAGACCACTAACTTAGAGATTGAGATAGAACAGATCGAACAATTTTCAACTCCACCCTTCTCAACACATGGGTATGAGGACACCCAAGCTTTTTCGAATCTACTCCATTGCATCATCATCTGTTAAAAATGTCGACGAACGGGGACAAGGATTGCGGCGATCAACAAGGGTTCGAAGAGACAGGGCCCTATTCTCTTCTTAGAGGGGAAGATTTGTATATGTAAACTCGATATTGGCACCACTTTTATTTCATCTGCCAGATGGCAACCCTATTTTCACTAACACCCTCAATTCCGTATTTATTAGTTGTTATTTCATACTTTCCTCTTGTAACTTGTACATTACAATCTTTCTTAATGAAATAAACTGAATTAAATTAAAACTCCAGACTCTGAGTATACAATAATTGCATTTTCATTTACCCTGTACTGGATTAAATCTGTGTCGCTGTACAACACAACAAAGCTTTAAAAGTGCCGTCCGGGATACCTGTGCGCTGAGTGCAATCTTATACAGATGGTTATGGAAAACAATAAAATAAGTTGCCCACATAGCTGGGCACCGTATTTGTAGTGGTCGTCCAAATTATTGTGAGTACCACGAAATGATAACATGTGCTGTAGATATGGCTGACAATTAGGACATTTTCATCGTTTGATTACAATTTTATTTTGATAATTTTTAAAAGAGTAATTAGCAGAATATTGAAATCGTTAAAATAAACAAACAAAAGATTGAATTTTTATGGTTCTGGAATTACTCAATCAGTGAATGGCTGTCACAGTGTAAATATTGTATTGATGTTAAAAAAGTTAAACTTAAACGCGATTTAATACCTGGAACTTACGGAACATGCTTTCAATTGTCGCTGAAGCTGTATCAACGGTTGTTGTAGATGGATTCGAACAATTTGGCCAGGAATAAAAATAAAATCTCGATGTGTTCTAAGAAAATTATGGCATCGTTGTACATTTTATAATCAAAAAATGTACACACCAAATTATCGACCTTTTACTGCTATTATTTGGATGATATACACATGTTATATATGTATCAATTGACATAAAACCTGTTACATCCTCAGATTATGAGTCGAAATTCCGGCTTCAAAGTGTCGGCGTCTTCGTTATGTGGATGCATAATATAATGTGCTTGAATATCTTTCTCTAAGCACAGGTTTGCTAAAAACCAGAAAATAATTTTAAAAAGCTGTTTGGCTATAACTCATTTTTACCGTTTCATTACCTTCACAACTTCCAAGTAAATTATTTCAAACGGTCCATATTAAGGGATTTTGAGTAAAATATGTCATTCTAGCTAACTGCATTTATATTAATAGGAATATATTAAAACTTCGCGCAATATGGCAGTGTATTGGACAGTTTAAACGATTGTACAAAATCCTTAAGAATATTCCCATACATCCCATCATTTTACATTTTATGTGGGTTCTGATCAGATTTTGGATATAGATTTCTGCTCCGGCGAACAGTTGCTGAATACATCTAGGACCTTTAACATACCATAATTGGAAACACCTGTATGTTTTATAAGCATCCTGTATAAACAATGGACACATTTTCGAGGAAGTATTCTACCTATTTCAAAATATCAAATCAAAAGAAATTTCAAAATTTGGTCACGAATTAAAAAAATGTGGACTGACACACAAAATGATAAATTAAAGACAATTGAGTTTAGAATTTGGATTGAATTAGAAGCTATACCAAAATAGTTGATCGACATTGAAATTATTTTTGCCGAAAAGGCCGATAATTTGAGAATCTGAATCGACAAAATTTGGTTGAAAATGTGTTTATGGTTGAAAATAGGTTAAATAGTGGACGTATATTGAAAATTTCAAGTGGGAAAATAGCCTATTAATTGACAGTACATTATAAATTATAGCTTAAACATTCAATGTAAATCATACTACAAAATACTAATTCTTGCAGCTATTTCGATTTCAACAAATAAATGTGATAGATTTTACGAATATATCATTGTAGGATCTCCGATGAGGATTCTCAGGTCTTGTTAACGGAATGACAATTTTATGGTTAAGAGATATAGACATTTGTGTAGTAATTTACATATAAATTCAAATATTATGTATGGATTTTGAATTGTAACGGTTTCTTTATTATTTTCAAACAATTAGGCGTTTTCAACATTTTTATCAGTAGTGTAAGAAAGTTTAACGTTTTTGGAAAGCCTTTCAACCAGAAACAAGTCTTGTTTCAACGAATTTTAAAGTATTGAGAGTTATGAAAACTTTCATGAGAGATAATAGAAATTCCGCCCGGAAAATTAATTACCAATAAAAAAATGGCAAAATTTGAATGGAGAAACGGAATTAAAAACGTTATTACCCGGGCACGGAGACGAGTTAATTTTTTCGAATCAGACACTCACTACAACAAAATAGACAGACTCCAAGTCCGCAACTCCGATTTTGACTTCCAAATGCAACCAACGAAAATTCTGTATCATCTTACACGTTCTAACAATTTCAGTCCGCCGCTTTAGCACTTGATGTGTGCACAAATAATGTTTGTCAAATTATAATCACAGCACACGATCAAACATAAAATTAAGAATATATAGTTAACCTGGTTAAATGATAAAACGAGTTAGCACTTACCGTTAAGAGTCATATCATCTTCGAGGGATTTAAACCATTTTTGGATTGTTATTTCACCTTCTTTTAGGTCAATTCCTTCAATTTGGTGAAAATGTTCGGTTATGGTATCCGTAGTTCCAGGCGAATATGCTAAACCTTTCTCGACCAATATCTTGCTAATATTAGTGAATTTAATAATGCATGGTGCCAAAGGATCCGTAGTATCTGTTGAGGAGCCCCACAATACGACTGGTAATGAATTCGTTTCCTCCAAGCGCTTTCCTCTCATAGAAACCCATTGTAATTCAAATTGTTTGATCGAATATCGAAACCAATCGATAGCTGATTTTGACCATGTTTTGACATTGCCGGCGGGACAAATACCGGCCAAATGGCAACGGTAAACTGCATTTGTCACACGATCCAACTGTGCACCGATCGAGAATAACTGGTGGGAAGCTATTGAACGTATAGTCGCTCCAATATCTCGTAAAAACACCGAATAAGTTGTTTCCGAAACGTGCTCGTGATTCGCTTCGATGACAATGCCCCTGTACCATTCGCAGTTTTTGTTGGTAGGAGGATCCGTTGGTGTGCTATTGTATTTGGTGTACACCAAACAATGACTGCCTATAGTCCATTTTTGGTTTTCTCTCGTTGGTAAATCGATACAATTAGCAGAAATGTGGAATTTCTCATTTAGTGTTTCTTGAATTTTGGCATGAAATTGGTCCGTCCCCATTTTCAATTTATATAATTGAATATAGAATTCCCCAGGGTCGACAATATGGGTAATAATAATTTGGGATCGCTGTACTGGAAGTGGTTCTAAATCTTTGGACGATTTAAGACTGGTTATCGAAGAGCAGTCATTAGTCTTAAGATTCTCCGACACTATTAATTCCCTTATGCGATGTGATTTCTTGGTCATTCGAAAACAATCCGAGGTTTGCGTTGTTTCGCCTGTTGAAATTCCATGTCTACTCTTCACTAAAGCTGCCCCGATATTAATGTCCAAGTTCTTTTTACTCACATAGAGCAGAACCCTGTTAAGATCTTCTGATGTGCTCTGAATTTCCATTCTCAAGCATGGGTTCACAGTCATCTGCCTGAAGTCAGAAATTGCAGTTGCTGTGTAATTGTATGAATTTTCTTGCAATGGTTCAATGTCGGCCAATGTACACCGAATCGCATATTCTCGCTTTTGTCGAAACATTTCAGTTAGCGTGTATGCTTGGCGCCAGTTAATTGTCTCGGTACGCCCTTCATCGACAAGTCGTACCAGTAGTGATCCATTTCCTTTTACCTCTATAATTCGGGCTCGATGCCAAAAATCGGCAATGCTTACAGCGCAACTCACGCCAGGTTCAGCCAAATACATTTGCTGGCGTTGTGTCTCTTGTGCTCCATAGAACGAATTGAGGTCAGACAAAAACTTTCGTTTTTCTTCGGTTAAATCGTCCTGAAAACGAAAAAAAAATCGATTAAAAAAATGTCCAACAAAAATGTCTACAATATTTCTTTTCACAAATTTGCTAGATTTATGTGTTTGTTTCTCTTAGAAATAAATCTCTAGATTTAGTTTGCATCCGGAAGTAACTATTAAAATTTAAATAATATTTGCTCACATGACATATTTCTTGGCACAAACCCGAAAAACACTCATTACAATCAACCTACTAAACCATTATTTTAAGAAGGGAATGTAGTTATTTTTTCTTGCTAAAAGTCGTCAAATAAATAAAAAACACGATTTATTCTTTATATGTCCCATTTTACAATAAAAAAATCATTTTGTTTTATTGAATTATTTATTTATTCTTCTAATGTACTTAATTTATATCGGGTAGTGCGCACGCACATATAACCTCGGTTTGTCAAAAATTCAGCTGGGACAAACAATTTTCTTATTTACTTAGACTAACTGGCATTAAAAGTTTTTAAGAATTGTTTAATTATTAATATATACAGTGCATTAATACCTTTATAACATAAAATTCGTGTGGACCCACGACGTGTAGCATATTGACCATTAAAATTTCGCCAGCCATCACATAAGTACGTGGAATTTGTTCACTGAGCTTCAAATTAGCAATGTCTTTCTGTAAAATAAATTAAAAAAGAAAATCAGTTATTACAGGAAAAAAAAAAAACTCTTGCCAAAACCTCTCGACATCTCATCATATTCGGACATTTTCGGTCGTATTACCCCGGACCATAATGAAACCTCAAAAACTTAAAAAAAAAAATTAAGTTGCGTAATCAAAAACATTTGTACCCCATTTTCAATGTTTGCTCTGTTGCAGTCAAAATCTAATGGCTTTGTAATTTTGATTAATAAGTTGGAAAAGTTTGCAAATACCCATCAAGTACCTTTATATTATACCCATTTTAGTACCACTCATCACTTTTCGTACAATATGTCAATTCCTGGTGCCAACGGGGACCACAATATAATATAATAATAAATTTAGTAATGTCAGTTCGCACACTTAGAACACATGTGTAAAACCACCTTCATATACCAAACTTAGTTTTCAACATTGATTTTCGTACAATTTTAAAAGTTAAGTACCATTTTCGTGACCTTAAAGTTCGAATTTACAAAAACCCTTTGGTACTATCTATCTATCTATCTATCTATCTATATATATATATATATATATATATATATATATATATATATATATATTTTTTTTTTTTTTTAATTTTATTTATTCATATAAAATCATGTACAATTCAGAAGTCCCGCGAAGCGGTAAGCTTGTCTGCAGGATTAACTTAAATATAATTTGACTATATACAAATTTTAATAACTATTTAAAGTTCAGCTGTAGTATGGTTTAAAAAAATTCAATTATTATAAGAAATATAAATGTATGTTAATTCTTTCATAATCAAAAAATATTAAGAATTTATAAGAAATTGTTTTATCAGTTTTTTCCTTTTCGGCTTGTTTCTTATATTTAGTATAGATATTGGTATTGAATTCATTGTTGTTGGGACGCTTACATTAAGCGATCGTTTGCCGTAATCGTTTTTGAAGCATGGTATCTTGGATCTTCCTTCAGCACGTCTTCTGGTGTTTTGAGTGTGATCTATCTGCTGCAGGTAATTTGATTCATCGTAAAATTCATTCAATATTGTTGTCATATAGAAGTTTTCTATGTTCAGTAGTCCAGACGTTTGGGTAGATTTTCATTGTAATCTGATCGATTGTTATTTGTTAAGGTAGTGTTTGAATTAGCATCGTTTGACTGTTGTTGATTCCTATTTGAGCGATGTAAACTTTTAAGAAGAATTTTAAGCAGGCTGTTCTGTGCTACTTGAAGGGTTCTGCAGTTCGAGGCGTTTCCCAGGCTGATATTCCATGACGTAAATAAGATTCGACAAGGGAAAAATATGCTTGCCTTAGCACTGTATATGGGGCGCATGTACTCAGATGATATAGAGCGAATGAAGACTTGCGTAGTTTGCCTCTAATGTTATCTATTTGAGGTTTCCATTTCATGTTGCAGTCTAAAAGTATTCCAAGATATTTAAAAACATCTACTGATTCGATTTTTGTGGTGCAGATTTCATTGCTTTGTAGATTATCGTATTTATTTTGATGAAGACATTCGTAGTTGTGACATAGTATGGAAATTTCTGTGTGGGGAATGTGTTTCGGTCGAAAATGCATGATTTTAGTTTTTTTAGCGTTTATAACCAGCCCATTGTCATGACACCATCTTAGCAGCTTATTCATTTCGTTTTGCATTCGGATTTCGGCTGAACGTATAGATTTGTCTGAAACGATTATGGCCGTGTCGTCTGCATATGAAAAAGTAATGCTGTCATTTAAAGTTTTTATCATATCATTGGCATATATTATAAATAAAATGGGTCCGAGTTTAGAGCCCTGTGGCACTCCATAATCTGACTGGTATTCTTGGCTTGTAACATTGTCAATTTTAACTTTAAATTTTCGACAATTTAGGTATTGTTCAAACCATTTTAAACAATGTCCTCTTATTCCATGCTTTTCTAGTATATTTAAAAGTTTTGGATGTGACAGGGTATCAAACGCTTTGCAGAAATCGATAAACATTACTAAGCATTGTTATATGTTTTTGGTCAGATCCGAAATTTATTATATTTGATTTTTTTAGCTTACTGACCTCTGTAAGTTTTGCAAATAAAAGACTTGTTTTATTGCATTTTTCCCAACGTTTCGTCACTTTTTTGGTGACTTCTTCAGGTGATTTCGTCTATTTGAATAAAATAAATGTAACAGTTAACAATATGGTCCAAATTACAACAATTGTAAACATATTCTTTACTTACACTAATATTCAAGACGTGCTTACATAGATTTTACATTAAAATAACATAAAAAGACAATAAACAACGACTTAAATCTAGTATCACAGGTATGTTTACGTTATTGCCACTCCATAGCTTGCACTAATATTGTCGGTGTCTTCTTTTAAGTTCATCGTTACGTCAATTTGTTGTTATATTCTCAGACTTTCAATCAGCAATCTCTTTTTCTCATTTTTCTCTTTGTCTAATATTATTGTTTTGTCAAAATCAGGTGAGTGGCCTGTGTGTATCATATGTTGTGCTAGTGCCGTCGTTTCTTTCCCTTTCTGTATATCTTGTTTATGTTCTCCCATTCGTATATTTAGCGCTCTTTTTGTTGTTCCTATGTATATTTTGTTGCATTTTTCGTTTTCTTTGCCATTGCATGGTATTTGATAAACAACATTGCTTTGTTGCTGTTTGTCGATTGGTGTTTTTGTGTTTGTGAATATGGAGCTTAGCGTTGTGTTTGGCTTGTAAGCAAAGTTTATATTTTTGTTCTTTATTATCCTCCGTAATTGTTGATTGTCAAAAAGTCCAGGAATGTATTTTACACCGTAAAAATTTGTCTTGTCTTCCGTTTGCGCTGTTTTTGTAATATTCGACGTCTTGTTGTTTTTTTCATTTATAATTTTTTTCTTTGTTTCATCTATTAATGTCATTATAGTCTTGTAAGGAAAACTGTTGTTTTTCAAAGTGTTTGTTATTATTTGAATGTTTTTTCTGTGAAATTGTTCGTCACTAATGTTAAGAATTCTGTATATCAAGTTACGTGCCGTGTTTAGGATTTGAGATTTAGGTTGTGTGGCGTTGTAATTTATAATTCTGCCGGATGAAGTTTCTTTAGTGTACCAGTCAAACATAATTTTATCTTTATTGCGTTGTAGCTTCATATCTAAATATGGTATTACGCCTTCGTTTTCTACTTCTATCGTGAATTGTATTTTATTATGGTATTTGTTAAGTGTGAGTAAGATTTCATCCGCATCGTCCTTATTTATAATGGCTAAAATGTCATCTACATATTTAGCTATGTATTTGATATTTTTGTCTCTAGTTTTTAGTTCAGCTAACGTTTTGTCAAGTAGGTGATCCAGAACTATATCTGCTATGGTAGGCGAAAGTGGGTTCCCCATTGGCATTCCAAATATTTGGTTATAAATCTTGTCCTTGTATGTGAAATAGTTATTGTCCTTGAGGCAAAATTGCAGACATTTCAGGAATGTACATCTTGAAATCTTAGTGTACTGTTTTATTTTATCCCATTTATCCATGATAATTTTTATTGCAGTATGTACTGGAATGTTTGTGAATAAGGATATAACGTCAAATGATACTACTATTTCTGAATCAACGAGTTTTACACATTTGAGAGTTTGTTTCATTTCTGTCGAATTCTTTATATTGTACTTCTCAGATACTATGTTCTTCAAAATTTTACCTAAGTATTTAGAGAGTTGGTAACACGGAATATTAATGGATGAGACAATTGGACGTAACGGTACATTGGGTTTGTGTATTTTTGGGAGTCCATATATTGTGGGTGCGTTGGAGGAAGTGCATTGTAGTTTTTTCTTTTCAAAATTGTCGATAAAATTGTTTTTAAATAATTCCATTACAATATTATAATTTGTCTTTTGTAATTTATTTGTGGGGACATTTATTAACATCTTGTAAGTATTTTTGTCTTCTAGGAGATCTTCCATCTTCTCGTTGTATTCTTTTGTTCAGATAAGTTTTGATATATTGTGTTTGTGAAGTCTCCCAGGAGTAGATTAAAGTTCTTTTCTTTTTGGGAATCCATATTGGTTATTGTTTATCAAACTATATTTCGCTAGGAAATTATTCAGTCTTCTAACAATAATTTCTTCTAAAACTTTTTCGATGACTGGTAGAATAGATATAGGTCTGTAATTTTTGCAGTTAGATTTATTACCACTCTTATGAATTGGGCGAATAATAGATATTTTTAGCAGATCGGGAATAATTGACTCGTTTAAGCTTCTATTTATAAGCTCTGTCAGGATTGGAGAAAATAATTCAGCGTTGTTTTTGATATCAATTGCACGAATGTCATCTATGTCTGCGCTTTTCCTGGTGTTTAAGCTTTTCAAAATATTTTTGACTTCTACAACATTTGTGCCTTCAAGAAAAATTGCGTTTGGAAAGTTGTTTTGGATATTTTCCATAGTTTCCTTTTCGCATGAATGTATTATGTTTTCAATATTCGTTTTAAATTTTTGTGCGAAAGTTTCTGCGACTTCAACAATATTCCGATTTGTAACGTTTAGTTTCACCGTTTCGTCTATACTTTTGCATTTTTTTACCAATAATTTCATTAATTGTTGCCCATGTTTCGCGAATATTACTTCTGCATTGGATAAACTTACTGTGGTAGAAAGTGTTTTTTGCAAAAATGATTTTTTTATTTAGTTGATTGTTGAAAGATTTATAAAGCCTTTCATTTGCGTCATTTTTACTTCTGCAGTACATTTTATACAACCGATCTCTTGTATTACAATCACTAATTATTTCTTTAGTTAGCCATGGTTGACCACTTCTATTTCTCGTTTTAATTTTCTTAATATCAGTTGACTATTTTGTTAAAAAGTTCATTTGTACCATTAGTTTCGCTAACAATCCTGCACCAATCTACCACTTTTATAAGATTGTTTACTTTTTTTTATTATTAAGAATGCGTTTTTCGGAGATTACATTTAGTGGATTTACAGTTGTGTCCATTTCAATAGATCCAAATATTAAGTAATGATCTGAGATAGTAGTGGCGATTATGGCTGACTTAATATTGTTTCTCGAATTATGCCTTATGAACAGATGATCAATGCACGTTCTGCTTCCATTGCGTTCACATTCTCTAGTAATACCGCTTACAGCACACTCAAGACCATTACAGGCGCACATATCCAAATAATTCTTTGATGACATGGTATTTGAGATAATATCGAGGTTCATATCACCAGTTAATATGATATCTTGATTTTTGTTTATGTTATTTGTACAATTATCCAATTCTTTAATAAAGTTTTTAACATTTAAATTAGGTGGCCGATACTTATTGATAGTTCAACTTGAAGCGATTCCAATCGAGATAGATTCCACTACGCGGGTATAGATAAATCGCTTAAGAATTGAATGTTCATTAAAATATATGTATATACTTCCAGAAAAATATTTGCTCGCAATACGAACTCTTTCAGATATAAAGGAACCAAAACACTTACCTTAATAGACATTTTAAAGCTGTGTGCACCTGGCCTCTCTCGGGCCAGGCCAGCGTATAAAAAAGACTCACGAACAGAAGTTGTCACTGGGGTTTGGAGGTCAACTTTAAGGTGGTCATTTCTAATTTTTTCGATTACGTTCATTCGGACATGCTGACTGAAATGGGAAATATAACAATTTCAACCGTGCACCGAATTAAAGGTAGCTTCTCTTACTTTTGTAATAGTTCATATAGAAAGTTTTTCCCGACCTCGGTCCATTCCTTTCCAGCAGGGACTATATCGGCTATGGCACATCGTACAGCGGCGAATGGAATTTTTATATGCGATTCGTGGACATTGCAAATTCTGAAAGAGAGCATTCACATTGGCGCACAATATTTTATGATTTTTGTCGGAGTCATGAATACACACTTATCTGCAGGTATAGTCAAATCCATTCCGTAATCAACCAAAAAAACTTTGTACTCATCCTCAGGAAGTATTTTCTTTAACATGCCTCGATACCATTGCTTATCTGCGCTGTTATAAGCCATGTAGTAGTAGCCGATGGTCATATCTTTTGGAATGTTTATTGTTTGCCCTCCATCAACGTATGCTTGGGACAACTGACGGATCTTCTCAATATCACTAACTCTTTGAATGTAAAAATGTCCAGGGGATTTTACATAGCTAATATGGACTAAGTTTTCATCAGCAATGCTGCTGCTACTTTCTACTGACATGGGTGAACTCCTTGCCGAAGCAATGGCCACAACATTACAAGCCTGCTTCGAGTTATTCTTTAGTTGCTTTCTTTTCTCTTTGGATATTTTAGATTGGGGCCTTGGTTGTGGAATATTCTGGTGGGTCGTTGAAATATCGAAGCTAGCAGAGGTAGACGAGTTGATGTTGGAGGAAACAGGGGTCGACATGTTTGAATCGTCTTGTGCACAACGAATTTTTATTTTAATTTTCGGTCCAACAAAACTGTATTTAATGTACTTATCAAGGTCTGGAAATTCAGTTGCTTTCACTTGAAAACTGCAAAAGAAGATAAGTTACAAAAGAAAAATAAATCTGAAAGCTTACTTGAATGGGTTCGTCCGTATGTTCGTAATTTCCACCTGGGTAGGTATTTGATACAACTGCTCGTTGTATTTTTGTAGCACCTTGCCAACATGGACGAGCGCCGGCAATTTACGTTCATAAAATTCCAAACTATCGCGCATATCCTGGTCAGGGGTTAATTAAACATAATTTGTGATATGTTCTGTAGATAAAAAATGTACTTGAATATATACCTTAAGAGTATCATTGGATTCATTCAGGCAGGCATGGGCTTGTCTTAAGAAAAACTGTGGCTGCTGGCAGATTTCTGCAAATTTGTCCAAAATTTCCTTTTCCTTGTTTTGTAGATAACTATGCAGTTTTAGGAAGTAGTCGGCGATGTCTTCAACGGTCTTGGTGGCAAATTCCTCAAGTTTAATCTCGACACTTCGTACATCCTGTAGGAAGAAAAGAACAAACATGTTTCTGTCATTTCGCAATCATATAAGACACGTGAGCGCGGTATTATAAATATATTGATTTCAATGTATGTGTGAGTGTTCGTTAAGAGTTTTCAATATTCCCATGTTTGTGGCAGCATATTAAAACTTTATAACATTCCATTTATATATTTTTGGGTTAAATTATTTTCTTTTTTTTTCAAAGATGATCTTTCTTATCGCCGAACATGCTCAAAGTCTTAGAGAAATAAGGATTTACCAAATCTGGACGAATTGGTGTAATATCTTCTAAAGTTATCATGCGCACAGACAGATGGATGGACATCGCTACATCGACTCCAAATATCCTGGAACAGACATCGACAAAAGAAACCGGTGGTCTAAACCCATAATTTCCATTAGACAAATATAATGGTATATACCCTCTGCAGCCATGTGAATGAGGGTATAATAATTTGTCTCATAAAACGAGAAAGAATCGAAGAGTCGAATTTTGGTCTAACTGCTAATATTTTTAACAATGCAAGGTCAGGTGCGAGAATGGACAATATTGGACGACTCTTTCTGGAACCTTCCCCATAAAGAGTTAATAATTTTTAAAACTTTTTATTTCCCAATATGGGTTTAAACAGCTCACCCCAAATATTTCAATAATTATATTTCTCATAGCACGCGAAACAAATCTTTTAAAACTTGGTATATATAAATATTTTATGGAATTTGTCGGTTCACTCTTTCTAGTACCTCCACAATGCGTAAACATTTTGGATTATTAAAACAAACCAAAGATCTAATGTGAATATGGTATATGTCGGTCCAGGTTGTCATAAAATTGGAAATAAGTGTTCGATTGTCTATAAATTTCCAACATCCCAATATTTTAATCAGTATTAGATGAAGTCCGAAAATGTAATACTTTGGTCTACCTCACACACATTTCAAAATTTTCCAAACATTATTACATGTCTAAGTCTATAAGGAAAAATATGTTTGTACGTTTGTTTGTAATTTATAGACTCAAAAACTGCTAAAAAGATTTCCCTAAAAAATCCTTATATACTACAGCATATCCTGAATGTAACATAGGCTATATACATTTTTAAAATTCCACTTGGAACTGGAGATAAAGCATCAAAATCGGAGGTACATCCAGAAGATTTAGTTTTTGAATGCACATATCCATTGATCGGTCATAGCTAGTCTTTAGAATGTGTAACGGAAATCGGTACAAAAATAAATTCGCCAAATTATATTAAAATCGGTTCAGATTTGAATTTAGCTCCCATATATATTTTCGGCCGATCTAACATATTTAATGCATCAAACACGATATGTATGTCCGATTCCAATGAAATTCGGAATAAGCGACGGAATTTGGTACCAAAATAAATTCGCCAAATTTGGTAACAAAATAAATTCAGATTTGGATATAGCTCCCATACATATACAGGGTGAGCTGAAAAAACTACAAAAAAGTTTAGACTGCTGTCATTTCTAAGCCACTCGTCCGAAAGCTGTTAAAATTATTCCAGTGACAGCTCATTATATTGTTTACAAGAATACAAAAGCATTTTGGTGAGAATTCTCCAGGAAAAAATTATTCGTGATGGAATTCAAGCGCGATAGTGTTATTTCTTTATATTTGGCTGGCTGGACTTGCCAAAGAGGTCATCTGAAAATGTGCAACTACGGTTGGCCACCAGAACTTAAGCGCTGGCCATGGTGATGGTGTGGGCCGTTTGAAGGCCATAATTCGTGCCAAAGGTGACAAATTCGAACAAATCTAAACTTATTTTAGAATTTGATGCTATTTCCGACTTTTTTTGCTTTAATTCAATTAAAAAAATAATAAAAATTATGGCGTTTGACTTTGTTCCAGTTTTTTATCTAACCCTGTATTTTCCCTTGGTCTTTAGATTTATGTGTATATATTAGCCGCATTTTAGATAGAGACCATTATACCACCAAAAAGATACAATTAATGCCAAGAAGATCAAATAGAAGTGTTTCAGCCCAAACCGAAATTCGTCATGATATGTATGTATGATATTTGGTTTATATTTCTTTGCTTTTAAGTTTAATTACTATCAACTTCCGCGAATGGAATAAAGTCGCGGTAATCTAAAAAATTGTTCGAAAAGCAAAAAATATATGATAAAAAACTGCAAACTAATACGCCAATGGTGATAAATTCAATCTGGAGGTCAATCACAGAGAAATAAAACTTTCTTAGTTATTGATTTAATTCGAAACCACCAGATGTAGATAATTTACTGCATAATTAGCTCGTGATTGATTTAAGCCCGCTATAAAAAAACGCAAAACAGAAAATTCTTTGTAAACCAAAAGAGTAATTATTAAGATTGGTTTCGTATCCAGTTCATCGCAAAATTGAGTATACATTGCATTAGTGGTTTCCAAAGGTTACTGGCCTTCTACCCATTTAGCAACAACTTAAAAAATTGCGTCTCACCTACTGTAAATATCAATTTTACACATACAAGGTTACACATATACACTTTTTTATTTAATTCTAGAATAGCCTTTCAAACAATTTATTCCAATGGGATGGAGCTATTTGGCTACAGAGGGTATATGTTTTTAATATGGCCAAAACTTGCCTCATTGAAATAAGGTTTTAGACCCTAGGTATCATTGGATGAAATTCGTTTCAGGACATTTGAAGTCAATCTAAAAATGTCCGTCCGTCTGGCTGGGTGCTGCGCCTCATTGAAATAAGGTTTTAGACCCTAGGTATCATTGGATGAAATTCGTTTCAGGACATTTGAAGTCAATCTAAAGATGTCCGTCCGTCTGGCTGGCTGCTGCGCACGATAACGGTTCGAAGGGTGTATCCGATTAGGTCCAAATTAGATATATCATAATATAATTATGAATCTTAGATCGAGTTCGGAGATATGCAATGTCGGTACCTCCCACACGACTGGTCCAAACTTTGAATAACAATGCAGCTTATAGAACGCGAATGAGCATTCGATTAAAAACTCGACACATCCTTATATATCTACCAACACAATATCTGTGGTGAAGTTAGGATATACCTGCCCACTCTTTCTGGAGCCCTACCCACAAGGTCAAAATTTTTTGGTCATTAAAAACACGAAATAAGAATCCGATCCTCTTCAAATTTTACAAATCCCAGCATTTTTCGGTATACTACTTCTGGCACCTCACGGACATTTCAACATTTTTCAAAAGTTATCACATAATATTTATATCGTAAGAAAAGGGAAATATTAGCCCACCTTCGGACCACCCCCATAAAAAGTCAACAGTTTAAATAATATATAAGTAAAAACATTGACCATAGCCGAAAATCCGGCCTCGCATAGGTATGAAGTACTAAAGGGTCTATTGTACATATTGAATTCCCGAGATATTTTAATCAGATTCATACTTGTGAAAGTCGGCTTCGGGTCTTCTTTGATTTCTTTTTCTCCATGTCTGAGTTATCGAACTTTTGGACATTTGTGCATGACTATCCTCTGAAAATTATACAAAGCAATCCGACTTTTCTGTGTGATGAAGAGTCTGTCATTGACAGCGAATTACTTTTTTTTTGTAAACATGGGATTTATGGGGACTTATGTCATTTTTTGTTATGGTAAACCCCAGCTACATATCAAATATCAGTTTTGTGGGAATTTTTACACTTTTAAATGTCTATTAACTTTCAAATAATGTAAGTTACACCCACTGTGTTTTATGAAAAATACAGTAAGTACTGTTACGCCTTTTGGCATTTCCTTAACAGGATCGCTATTATTGAACGTAGAATCTTAAAATTATAAAATCTTAAAATTGCAGGAACGTGTATATAGCTTTATGCGTCAGATTTAATAAAAAAAAAACTAATTTCGATTTTTGTGGGTTACGCCCTTGGACGTAGCGTAAGATTTTAGGTCGATTTAGCAATGTCGATTTTGCACATAAGGTTATTTCAAAGACATAGAAGTGTAAAGATGGGACAAAGCAGAGTCGAAATATGGAAACCCTGTGAAAATACCTCTGTTGTTACAATATCGTAACAGCATAGTTACCAATGTTAATTGATTTAAACCGCTAAGGCAATATGCAATTAATTGGAAAGGTCAATTAAATAGAATTTTGAAACCAAAATTTGGATTATTCAAACTTTTATTTGTCAGTCTTTTCTATTATTGTGTTTTCGATATTAACATTCCTCTGTCATGACCTGTTATTCGAGATAGTATAGCCACAAACCATTTACTCAGAATGCATTTTGTCTAGTCTTTAGTTATTTCGAAGACATAGAAGTATAAAGATGGGATAAGACAGAGTCAAAATATTGTCACCAGGTGTAAATACCTCTGTTGTTACGATATCATAACAACATAATCACCAATGTTAAGTTGTTTTAACAGCAAATGCAATATTCAAACGTCAGTGAAATGCAATTTTTAGTTCAAATTTTTGGTTTACAGAAAATTTTATCCTTAAAATTGCTCTGTAAATATAATTTTTATGCTAACATGTTACTGTTGTGAGCAGCGCCTCTATATATTTTTTACATTAACTGTTTTTCCATTATGCATTTTGTCCAGTCTTTACCATTTTAGGTCTTTGCCATTTACTCAGAATGCATTTTGTCCAGTCTTTACCATTTTAGGTCTTTGTTATTTGGCGACTAAGGAACTAACAACTCTTACTTTTTAATCTAAATATATCAATTTGTATAAAAGAAAGTTGTGTTGGTTACTACGATCATAATGATTCAGACAAATTCGGAATTGTCTCTTGGCAGAAAAGGATAAAATCCAAAAAATTTCGTGAAAATGTAAAATTTTAAAATATTCATTTTGACTTTTGAAATGTACAACAGTAATGATTTTTCTATTTTGACTTGCTATTTTCGAATGTACATTTGTAGTGTTTTTTTTTTAACTCTAATATGATGTGTAGTCTTTTTGGGGACTATAAAGCGACAACGTACAAAACTGTTATTTATAGATTTT